GAGTGTGTCTGACCCTGGCTATTGAAGAGAAAGGAGCTCCCAGTGCAACTGGTTGCAGCTTGGAGTCAGGCCATGAAGGAGAGGTACCGGGTGCTGCTGGAGGACCAGTTAGGTTAGTGCTTTGTGTTTGAGTTTGACTGGAGGACTGGGTTGTAGCTGTAGGGGTGGACTGGAGCCACATAACAGGGTCTCTGGGTACTCTGAGCATCAGGTCCTGCTGAGCAGGTGAGGGGAGTGAGCTGGGCTAGGGCCAAGGTCTGGGCATATGCCAAAAGAAGTGGGCTAGAACTGAGGCTTGGGAGCTGAGGTCCTAGACAGCGAACCAGACCTGAGGGCTCAGCCAGAGAAAAAGGAGATCGAGGTGGGTTCGGCTGAAGTCTCAAAAAGTGCTCGGAGGCTTGAGCGGGCGCTGCCTTAAAGGGAAAGCACCTTGAAGGAAGCACAGGGACCCCCAGGGCTGAATTTGGACTGAGCAGCTCAAGGGCAAAGCCAGAAATGGGCAGCGCCAGAGGAAGTACTCCCAGCCTCCAGGCACCACCTCCTCTGTAAACTAACAAGAACATCAAAGGCATCTTGGGAATCTCAGTTGTAACACTATTTTTTTTCTATTTGAAAGCCCCGTTGGGGGCAAGGGAGGCATCCATTCTAGAGCCTTGTCCCCACAGACACCTGGCAGCTAGCTCCTGCTCCCTCTTGAGGCCCTCCCCACTGAACTGGTTTGGATTCGGCCCCTTTCCCTTTTGTAGCTCGTCGTGTCCCATCCACTGGCTCCTTGGACTTATTTGAGGGTCTATAGATGCTGGCCAGTGTGCTCTGCTTGGTGCCCCCCACCCCTCACAGCACTTGTTATTAACTTCTGACCCTGACTCCCATCCCTGGTTTTGCAGGGACTATCTCAAGACTCTTGCTGACCCCCTCTAATAGCAGAGGGAGCTAACAGTTTGCATGTGGGCCCAGGCCCAGAGTCTCCAAAATGTACCAAATCAGCTTCTTGTGGCTCTTCAAGTCTCTTGTCTTCTTCAAGCCTTCCCTGCAACCCACCCTCCAAGCTCATGTCCACTTCCACCCTAATGGAATGGGTATATTGCTCACCACCACATTTTCCTTCTGCCTTGGGGGCCTGCCCTGCCTCTTGTGCAGTTGGGCCAGCTTGAGTCTCGGGGAGCCCCTTCTTCCCAAGCTTCCTGGGGATGTTCCCAACAGCTCCAGGTTTGCATGCCCTTCCTTGGTAAGCTGCTCCTGGCTTTGGCTCGGGCTCCCTGCACCTGCTGGAAGGAGAGGAGAATCCACAGGTTAGCACTGGTGCTTCTGGTACAGGGAAAGCCCGGCTATTCGACTAAGTTGGGGTGTGCCTACAGTAAGGTGCCTTTTCTTGAGTCCTGCAATGGGGCAGGGATGCAGGGGGACCAGAGCCAAGGCAGAGCCAGAGGCCTGGTGACAGGTTATGGCTGAGAGGGCTAAAGTCTGGGCAGAGTGGCTGGAGGCTGAGATGACTAAAGCCAAGATGGGTCTAAGGGCCTAGAGAAATAAATATGACCTTGACAGTCCCAGGGACCTGACAGTGAGGGAAGAGGTAGGCAGATAAGGTCAGACGGTCCAGTGAATGAACCTAGAGTAAACCCAGCGAGGCATGGCTGTGGCTATGGGGGAGGCTGAAGCCCACAATTAGGGTCAAGGGGGCTATAATTAGCATCCATAAGGTCAGTGGGGCCAGGACACGGGCCAGCTAGGAGCAACAAGGACACGGGAGGGAAGAGAGCATAGGGTCCGTGGGCATGAAGCTGGACTTCCCAGTCCTACAAGTAGAAGGAGCTAGGCCAAGTGCAGCGCTTTTGGGGTCATTTGGGCTCTGGGGTAGCCTCCCATGGGTACATATCAATCCCATCAAAGTGGGGCAGTGTAGAGGGTGCCCTGAGGGCCCCGAGTCGGGAAGGTAGTTTGGCCACCAGCGGATATCTTGGCATCCGTCGGGCTCTACAAAGATAGAGGACTCTTCTGTAATGGGACCAGAGTGAAGACCCAGACCTACTCAGCCTCAACTGGGGAGGCAGGACAATTCGGGGGGTGCCCGTGCCCCAGTTCCTAACACTTTCCATTGGCTGTTGCTATCACATCTGGCATGCTCAGTGATGGAGATCAAGACCATATTGCAGCAGAGAGGTGCAGTAAGTGATTCGAGCCCTTCACGCCAGGTGCTGAACAGGCAAGGGTCCCTCAGTATCTCTGTCAAGGCCCCTGCCCTGAATGCAACACATTACCTGACATCTGGTGGGATGGAGACTTCTCTTGAGGGACATGAGGAAGATCATCCTGGGGCCCTGGGGTTTCACACCGTCCTGCCTCCTCCACATGCCCAGAACGAAGCTTCAGCCCATTCATCCAAGACTCAAGAGGTTCCCTCAATGCCCCAGAAGGTATCATCTTGTCCAAGGCCACCTCCTTGATCTTCCTGCACACTGTGACCTGGTAAGAAGACATAAACTGCACTGAGAAGCTGGGAAATGGGAGAGACAGGAGTGGAAAGGAACATCCTCCAGGTATATAGTGACAGAGCTGGTATAAAAAAAAATGATAATCACTGTTCAGTGATATCACCTGGAGCTTCTCATCCTTCAGCTGCCCCAGCCAGGACCGCCACCTTGACACAGGTCTCCGCATGGCATCCCCGCTCCTAGCTTGGCATCTCGTGGGGCAGGATGGCCACGAACTCCTCCAGCCCCAGCAGCCCCAGGATCGGTGTCTTGCTGCAGCGTTGTAGCTCCAGCAAGCACTGGCAGAGCTTCTGCAAGCAGCCAAAAGCCTCCTGCAGCCCCTTGACCTCCTGGGAGCATGAGCTCCAGAAGTCTCCAGATTGGGATGGGGGGTTGTCCCCCAATGTCCTGTTTGATAACCATGGGGTCACTGGGGCCAGTATGGTAGGAAGACAGCTCCTCCTGCTACTTACTTCCCAGCGCCGGACTGGCTCGTCTTGTGGCTCCTGCTTGACCTGTGCTGGCGCTGCCCATGTCAGCGACTCTCTGGCCTGGATAATATGAGGGAATCTCCCTGCCCCTGGCTCAGAGCCTGCTGGGTCCTGCTCCTCCATCTTCACTGGAGGCGGCACAAGTGCTGGGACGAGGAGGTGCGCAAGTGGTGCCGGTTGCACCTCAATAGACATGTTGTCTGCCAGCTGACTCTCCCACCTCTCACTTGGGGCTTGTTGGCAGAATCCTGCCTCCTGGGTTGTCTGTGGGAAAAGAGAAAGCACAGTGATGTGGTCATGTGATGGGGACTCAGTCCCAGTCCTGCATCCCCTGCCCCATTATTCCAGCCAGAAGCAAGGCCCACCCTGTGCTGGGGAGGGGGGGAGGGATAGTAGCTAAATTAGGCATGGGGGCAGAGACTAAACAGGCAGGGACTGAAGAGACTCCCCCCAACATATGTTCCCCACTTCCTCCCCCAGCTAGCACTGGGGAGTTTGCGGAGCTGCGGCCAAGGGTCTGCATCTAAGCCAGGCGCCGCAGCGGCAGCAGCTCTCTCCTGTGCATGGACTGTGAATGCCATGTTTCCCTTTTCTCCTGCTTTCAGGTTGATTTTACAAGGAGAGGTACCAGCTCAGGCCATAGGGAATCTGCATTCCCTCTGCAGGAGGCGGTGTTCATGTCCCTCGGGTTAATGTGCAGTCCTCTACCTGAGATGTCCATTTCCCTGCAGGGAGGGCTGAAGCAATTATGATGTACAATTTTATTCCCATTAAGCTTCATCTTCCAGCAGATAAGGTCTTGCCACCCTTCTTCTCTTTCTTTTGGTCTACTCCAGAAACTCCTTCCACTGATGGTCAAAAACCCTGTCCTAACTCTCAGCCAAATTCATTTGGTGCCGATTTTTAATCGATTGTTCTGGGACCTTAAAACTATTCTTGAGTTTACAACATCTGCTCTCCCTTTCTGATGTGTTTATGGAGAGCAATTGTCTCTGCTCTCAGCCTCCATTTGGCTGGACCAAACCAGCCAAGTGCTTTGGGTCTCCCCTTGTAAGAGCGACTCCATTTTTCCCATCATCTTTTAGCTCCTCTATGTACCTCTTGGATTTTGAATTCATCTTTCCTGAACATAGCAGAAGTTTAAAACTCCTAAAAACCCTTCCACTTCGAGATGACCCTCCTGATTGTTTAGGGGAAGGGCTGGTTTGCCTTGTGATTGGGGGTTCCCATAATAGGAGGGAGCAGAACGGGATTTTGTGCTACATATTTTGAAGGTGACTGTTATGCACTGGATTTCCTATGAGCTGAGTAGGTTGGTGAGTGTTGTGCTTTTCGATCTGAAACATTTATTCCTGAGAAGGGAGCACGGTGGCAGATCAGATAAGGTCACTCGTCACATGTCTCCATAAGGCCTGAATTAAAAGGATGCTCTCAGTTCACCCCGCTATAAATGGGAACCTGGCCCACGAAGCTGCGGTGTAAAAGAAGGCGAAATGGGATGATGATGGCATCACTCCCTTATGCGCTGTACAAACTGGGTTGCATTACCTGTGCCAACATAACAGGCATTGTTACGTTTGGGCAGCTGTTTGATTTCACCCAGGGTTTGCATTCATGCTCATCTCTGTAGCTAGGAAAATCTATAGCCCCCGGGTCTTCTACAAGGTGGAGGACAGAGAGGAACGGGGCAGAGAGCTGGGATGACAGGTCACAACAGGGGCAATAAGAGCTAAAGACCAGATCTAAATTACTGCACAGTATGGGTACGTGTCTACATGTGCATGTCCATACGGTGCAGTAACTATGGTGACTTATGCCTGGTTAGTTACTGAGCAGTAACACATGTGTAGATGCCTTACTGCGCAGTAACATTGCGTGTGTGGACTGACTTGGGACTGACAAGAAATACTCCACGTTTGGAGCACCTTTCATCTACAGTCTTAGGCACAAAAAATCATTGATAATAACACTCTCTATGCTGTTCCCCTTCCCGAGATGTCCTGTCTCCTGAGCTCCAGGACTGAATCCTGCCTGGGGTCTCATCTTCCTAGAGACGCATTTGAGTTTCTGATTGAGACTGAGCAAGGGCACAGGAAAAAAAAACATAGGAAAAACTTTCTCCCTAGGACGGTGGTGAAGCACTAGAACAGGTTACCTAGGAAGGTGGCAGAATCACCATCCTTGGAGATTTTTAAGGCTGGGATTCACCAAGCCCTGGCTGGGATGATGTAGTTGGGGATGGTCCTGCTTTGAGCGTGGGTTTGGACCAGATTTGACCTCCTGAGGTCCTTTTCAACCCTAATTTTCTACAATTCGATGAACATTTTTCTCACAGCTTGGTTGGATAGGAAAGGTCTATAATGGAGAGCCCAGACCAGAAGAGCATTGTGAAAAACCTTATATCCGCATATCCCTCCTGTTCTGCCAGAGTCTCTCTAATGTCACCTCTCTCCATTTCATCTCTCCAGGCGGGTTTCCATTAAGTTCAGTTTCTCAAGTATTTTATTTTACACCCTTGCTTTGCTTCCTTGATAACGTGCTGCTGTCCTCGACGTTGGAATATGGGTTTAAACAAGGAGCCCTTTCTATACCTTCGATCCTCTGCTCTGAGAAGTGGGGGGAGGCAACACTTTTCTTTTCCTTCATGTCAGTTGTGGCAATCCTGGAAAGCTCTTGTATTTTATAACCTCCCGGAGTAGGAGTAGATGTCTCTTTAGCTTGATTTTGAACCTGCTCCTTTTGTTGGAACCGGTGCAATCGTGCGGTTGTTTCTTGGGGGGGTTGCGCCGGGGGAAGTCGAGAGTGCTCTGTGCATAGGGACTGCTGCCTTTGCTTTGTCTCTCTCCTCTGCTCTGCTCCCCCCCTGCCGCAGCCATCTTTGCTTCTGCGGGTCCTGCCAGCTGCTCTGAGCAAGGATTCCCCCAGCCACTTTCTTTTCAGGCTGCAGCTTTGCAAACTGCCCCCCTTTTCCATGAGCTCTGCACCCCACTAAGGGGGAAGTGCTGTTTTTGGAGGGCGAGGAGGGGGGCTGGGACCTGTGATGCTTGCACATTGTGCCATCCCCCCCCACCACCACCACATACACACCCTGGGGTGCTGCCAGCTTCTTCAGCACGCCCTGGGGAGGCATCCCTTCCCAGGGTCCCACGCTGGCATGAGGGGACCGGGACTGGGAATGGGGTGCATGTCACTGTTCCCGCATGGGCTTGTCCTCCGGCTCTCCGGCAGCTGCGGGCTCACTAAGAGGACAGAAAAACACTGGAACGGGATTCCTAGACAGGCGGGGAGATCTCCATCCTTGGAGGTTTTTAAGGCCCAGCTGGACAAAGCCTAGACTGGGAGGATGTAGGAGGGGACGGTGCCCGCCTTGCTACCCCTGATTGTCTGATGCCTCCCAGAGACCCCCCGCAGTTGCCTCCCGCCCCAGGGGCTGGGGCTGCTCCCTTCCCCGGGCAGCAAGCCCTTCTTCTCCCTTGCCCTGGACACCGCTTCCCTCCTGCAGCGACTCACCCGCCTCCGAGCCACGTCCTCCGGCTGGGAGCCCGCACCACCAAGCCCCTGCTGCACCCACCGGGCCGGGGCGGCACTTCTGCACTGAGCTGGGCTGGGCTGGGCTGGGGGAAGCCTGGTGGGAGAGTCCTGCAAGAGAGGAGGAGGAGGAGGAGGAGGTGATGTTGGGTGGGCGATCCCCGCTCCCCTGCAGCGCTGCCAGCCTCGGGGACCCACAGCTGCCCCGCATCCCTGCCCCAGCGCTGCATTACACACACGAGCCTCCAGCTGGTTCCTTATCCCACTTCCCAGTCCCTGAATCCCCGTTCCTCAGTCCCAGTGTCTTATTCCCAGCTCCCAGTTCCTCATTCCCAGGTTCCAGTCCCTTATTCATTCCCAGTTTCTTGTTTCCAGTTCCTTAATCCCCCATTCCTTAGTTCCAATTCCTTATTCCTAGTTTCCAGTCCCTTATTTTCCATTCCTTATCCCCACTTTCCAGTTCCTTATTCCCAGATCCCAGTTCCATATTCCCAGTTTGCAGTTCCTTATCCCCAGTTTCCAGTTCCTTAATCCCCATTCCTTACTCCCAGTTTCTTATTCCCAGCTCCTTATTTCCACTTTTCAGTCCCTTGCTTTCCATTCCTTATCCCCATTTAACTGTTCCTTAATCCCTGTTGCTCATTCCCAGTTTCTTATTTCCAGCTCCCAGTTCCTCATTCCCAGTTTCCAGTCCCTTATTCATTCCCAGTTTCTTATCTCCAGTTTCCAGTTCCTTAATCCCCCATTCCTTAGTCCCAGTTTTTTAGTCCCAGTTTCCGGTCCCTTATTTTCCCTTCCTTATCCCCAGTTTCCAGTCCCTTATTCCCAGCTTCCAGTCCCTTATTCCCAGTTTCTTATCCCCAGTTTCCAGTTCCTTAAACCCTGATTCCTTAGTCCCAGTTTCTTATTTCCAGCTCCCAGTTCCTTAGCCCCAGTTTCCAGTCCCTTATTTTCCCTTCCTTATCCCCACTTTCAAGTTCCTTAATCCCTCTTGCTCAGTCCCAGTTTGTTATTCCCAACTCCCAGTTCCTCCTTCCCAGTTTCCAGTCCCTTATTTTCCCTTCCTTATCCTGTTTCATTTCCTTATTCGCAGCTCCCAGTCCCTTATTACCAGTTCCTTATCCTCAGTTTCCAGTTCCTTATTTCCCGTTCCTTATCCCCAGTTTCCAGTTCTTTATTCCCAGCTCCCAGTTCTTTATTCCCAGTTTCTTATCCCCAGTTTCCAGTTCCTTATTTCCTTTTCCTTTTCCCCAGTTTCCAGTTCTTTATTCCCAGCTCCTAGTTCTTTATTCCTAGTTCCTTATTCCCAGTTTCCAGTCCCTTATTTCCAGTTTCTTATCCCCATTCCTTAATTCTTGTTCCTTACTCTCAGTTATTTATTCCCAGTTTCTTATTCCCAGTTCCAAATGCCTTATTCCCAGTTTTCAGCTCCTTATTCCCAGCTGCCAGTTCCTTATTCCCCGTTCCTTATTCCCAGTTCCCTGTTCCTTCTTCCCGATTCCTTCTTCCCATTTCCTTCTTCCTGGTTCTTTATCCCCAGTTTCCAATTCCTTATTCCCAGTTCCTTATTTCCAGCACCAAATTCCTTATTCCCAGTTCCTTTTTCAAAGCCAATCTGTAGCTAATAAAAGCTTGTTAATCATGAATTAAATATTGTAAAGAGAGAGAATGCCAACTTCAGCCTCATTGCAGACAGCAGGGATGGTGGCAGGGGCCCTGGTTTAGGGAGCAACATGGCAGTGAGAATCCCTTTGTAGTGGGTGGAAACAGTTAATCCCCTGGTTTTGGGTCCTTGGCAGGATGTGGTTTGGTTAGATTAATTTATTTCCTCCTCCCCACTCCCCACAGTCATCCTATATGCCTCGCTTTCCCTGGTGGCGTCTCTCACTGTGATACCATGGGGGAGAACAGCTTAACATTGCCCTGAACCAGTCCTGAATGGGGGAGCTGGGGCTCTGGGTTATTTTTTCCCCCATTTGCTAGAGAAATGGTCATCAAGAACAAACTGTTTGCATCTAAAGAAATTGCTTATCTCATTCCTTAGGTCATCAAGAACAAACCACTTTCATCTCAAGCATAGGTGATGTGTAGGGGGGGCACAGGGGGGCACGTGCCCCCCCTAAGATTGGCCACCACTAAAGTCACCACCAGCTTTTGTGGGCAGTTGCTGCCCACCCCCACCGGCTCGCTGTCGATGTGGCCACCAGCGGCTGCAGGCAGTCCCTGCTCTCCACTCGCCGTCCCCACTGACAGCGTGGATGGTGGCTGTGGGCAGTGCCTGCTCACCGCCCGCTGCTTGCCATTCTTCCCCCCCACCTCCCACTGATGTTACCACGACTGCCTGCAATGCAAATGGTTTTGGGGCTGAGGCACTGGGTTTATTTAGTTTGGAGAAGACTGAGAAGGGATTTGATAGCAGCCTTTAACTTCCTGCAGGAGGGTTGCAAAGAGGATTGAGCTGGACTGTTCGCAGCAGTGACAGATGACAGAACAAGGAGCAATGGGCTCAAGTTGCAGAAAGGGAGATTTAGGTTGGATATTAGGAAAAACTTTCTAATTAGGAGGGTGGTGAAGCCCTGGGACAAGTTACCTAGAGAGGTGGTGCAATCTCCATCCTTGGAGGTTTTTCAGGCCTGTCTAGACAACCCCCTGGCTCGAATGATCTTGTTGAAGTGGTCTTGCTTTGAGCAAGGGGTTGGACTAGATGTGACCTCCTGAGGTCCCTTGCAACCCTTAGTTTCTATGATTTTATGACAGCATAACCACATGCACAGATACAGACTGGGGAGTGACTGGATAGGCAGCAGTACAGCAGAGAAGGAGCTGGGGGTTACTCAACCATAAGCTGAATACTTACCAGCAGTGTGCTCTTGTTGCAGAAAAAGGCCTACAGCATGCAACAGTGTTCTGCATTTTCTATTTTTATCGAATTCAACCAATAAATTACCTGATTTTTTGTAAATTGAAGTTATTCGGTTTTTACTGATTTACCCCTGATTTTCAGTTCACTCAATAATATTTTACCGGGTATTTATTTGTATGAAATGCCATCCTGATAGCTGGTTTTGTATTGCAGCACTCAAGCTGAAGCAATTCTTCAATGTAAAACTCACTCCAGACACACGATGGAGCCTGTCAGATTAAACCATGTTAATATTGCACCATGATTGGCTCATGTGACATAAATAGGCACTTAGTGCTTCCATTTAATGTGGGGCTGAATTAAAAACATACACAGGGAAAAAAAGTAAAAGATGGGTAGAAAGTGCAAATCTCTCTGTGCCTACATCTGTGAAAATCAGTGTTTCGAAGTTTTCAAAAAGAGGAAACAGGAAGGTGAAGAGGCTGCATTGCATTGCAAGTACTGCAGCATTTAAGTCAGTTCTCATGCCGGAAGGGTAAAAGAACATGGAGAAAGCAAGCGACACATTCAAACTAAAGAAGAATGTGAGATTAGGGATAAACAGGCCAAATCTGAAGCCTTTAACAGGGCATTAATGAGAAAGAGAACCCGACACGGCTGCGTTAATGAACACGCGTGTGCTGTTTGTTTTGCTGGGCAACCGCTGTTTCTCGTGGAGGGACCGATTGGTGACTTTGTGAGATAATCCTGTCCAGCAGCAACTGGAAATGGCCCCACCTGCCTCTGCAGCTGGATAAAAGGGACCACTCAGCGCACCAAGGCAGCTAAGCAGGGCTTGTCCGGGAGTTGAACCCGGGACCTCCTGCACCCTAAGCAGGAATCATGCCCCTAGACCAACAAGCCACATACTGATCTGCCCCCCACCTGCCCTGCTGCATTTTAGACCCTTGTGACACAGGACAGACGCCAAGGGCAGGGCCTGGGATAAGTCCTCACGGGTGTGGGGCTGTTCAGGCTCTCTTACACCCGTAGTATCAGGACTCAGCCCTGTTACAAGGATGTCCTGGAGGACACCACAGACCTCCAGGACAGCCTCCTCAGCAGTTGCCTTCACTGCCCCAAAGACAGGGTTGATGTAGCTCAGGCTGGTGTGTGTGGCCAAGTTGAGCAAAGCAATAGCCCACTCCCATAAGTAGCCGGCTACTCCCATAAGGAAGAGATCTCTTCCAAACAGATGCATGTGTAGACAACATCCCAGGGCTGGCTCATTGCACAGGAAATTACTGAGCAGTAAACCCAAACAGCATTAATTGCATGTGTAGGCAGCCCCTGTGACTTATGAGGGACGACTTGCGACTGAGTACAATGATCTGACGAGGTTTGAATAATGTTTGGTTTTAGAGTCCAGAGTTCCAAAACTTATCCCAAGACCTGCCCTAAAGCAAGGAAATAGTGAGATTTGTACTCCCAAGCCCAGGCCTCTACACCCTGAGCTACAGAGCCATGCCAAATGCAAGACAGAGGCCCTGCTGGGATTTGAACCCAGAATCTCCTGTTTACTAGACAGGTGCTTTAGCCAACTAAGCCACAGGGCCTCCTGTCTCTGGGTCAAAATCATGGGAATTTCAGCTGTGTCATTCAGGGTTTATGTCAGGACATCAGCTTAGTTTATTTGTGTCCCTACAGGAGCCTGATGATCAGGCTTTTCCATTTCCCTCGGAAAAAAATGGAGTAAACCGTGGATTTTACCTTTTACCGGAGGCAAATGTGGATTTCTCATTTTACCAGGGAAGCCCGTGAATTTTGCAGTTTTGCCATGAGCTCCCTGCAGGCTGGCACGGTTCAAATTTGCCAGGAGCTAGCAAGGAGCTGGAGGAGGGCGTACATGCACATGGCCTCAGGCAGCCCAGAAAGCAGGTCCGGCAGGTGTGGCAGAAGACCACTTCTGTCTCTCCCCAAAAACTTTGCTCTGTGACAATTTGGTTCGCATGGTCTCTGCAGAGGGCAGATATCCCATCGCTTTAGGTAACCTGAGTTGGATACATTCCTTAGGGAGACAGGTGCCTACGTGACTGGCATCACACACCTGGGTGAGGGCTCCCTCCTGTTCTCAGCAATGCCAGTCTACCCAGCAACCAGTGATGCATTTCAAATTGGTTGGCTGGCAGCCAGCAGGTGCTGGCCTCCATTGGACCAGGTAAATGAG